GAAACAGACCTAGAGGTGATTCAAAAATGGAAAAACAACACGGTCTTTAGTACAAACATGATTATTAGGGAAAAATAGAAGTGGAAGCGGTAAAAAGTAAAAGAGGTATGGAAAATTCCACCAAGTATTCAAGTCTATAACAATAACAAGGACCTGGGTGTGGTGGTGGATGCCCATAAGCCCAGCACTTGGGAGGCAGAAGCAGGCGGATTTCTGAGTTCGAGAGTTCGAGGCCAGCCAGGTCTACAGAGTGAGTTCCAGGATGGCCAGGACTATACAGAGAAACCCTGTTTCGAAAAAAAACAAAAAAAATTTTTTTTTTTGTTTTAAGGTAAAGTCTCGGGGGATGCAGGGGAGGATGGGGGAGTGGGGGAATGTGGGGGATGTAATGACAGCTCAGAGGTTAAGAGCAGTTACTATTCTTACAATGGACCAGTGTTTAGTTCCCAGATCTCACATGATGGCTCACAACGCACAGTAACTCCAGTTTCGGGAGACCCAGTGCCCGGTTCTGACATCTGCAAGCACCGTGTCTGCATGTGATGCACGCACATACAGCCAGACAAAACACTCATGGACATAAAATAAAACAGCCTAAAATCTTTTCTTAAAGGAACCAAAAAAGGGCTCGGAGCACAGAGCAATAGTAAACTCTTGCCTAGTGTGTTTCAGGCCCTGGGTTTGAGACCCAACCTCTCCCCCCACCAAAAACAACAACAACAACAAAAACAAACAAAAACCAACCAAACAAACAAAAAAACAGAGACTAACAGGTTTGCAGAGGATGTGGAGAAATTGGAGTCCTCTTGCACAGATTGTAGGACCAGTGCTGGAGGAAACAAGACAGCAGTTCCTACAGTAACTAAAAACAGCATGACCATATGACCCAGTTACAGACTATAATAATAAAAGATCAAGTGATAAGAACCAAATAAAAATGGTAGTCATTTTATAGATGTTAAATGGTAAAGAAATACATAAACTGTACCAAAACAATGACGCTTACCATGAAGAAGATCTAAAGTTTGCTTGTGGAAGTGGGCTCTTTCAAAGTGAGTTACCTGAAATCTGGTGGAAAGATGTAACTCCAGTTGTAAGGCGTCTGGGAGACACCCAAGGTGTGTGTGTCTGGTGTGTCCTTCTGGGGTTGTGGTTTATTTAATAGGTGCTTTTTGTTTTCATATAACTTTTATTTTATGTGTATGTGTGTTTTGCCTGCATGTATGGATATACACCACATATGTGTATATCGATACATGCAGGCATACATTGAGGCCAAAAGAGGTGTCAGATCCTCTAAAACGGAAGTTATAAACATGTAAACTAGCATGTGGGTGCTCAAACAGAACTGGGGTCCTCCACTAAATCATAAAGGGCTCTTAGCTGTTGAACCATCTCTACAGTCCTTCTCATAATGTTTCTGGTGGACATAATTAAACACAGAGACATAACATTTGCTTTCAGCTCCAATTGTTCCCAAATATATCAATAGTGCTGAAACCAGTTTGCATCCCAAAACATGCCAGCAAAATTGTTCGGTGACTTACTCCTTTAATCAGCTTTTCCCAAAACACAACCATCCCAGCTGTACCAGACAAAGATCTTTCTAGCTATCACTGTCATGAAAGTGTAACAAAAGTGTCTAAGGACCCAAAAGACTGAAAGAAAAAAAAAACAGACTCCCATCTGAGCTACAGTCACCACTGCAGGAAGTGGGATTACCCCCCCAGGGGTGGGGCCAACAACTGACCAGAGAAGAGTTTGAGAGTTGATTGGCTAAAGCAGATATCTATCATTCCCTACCAAAGAGCTCTGAAAATGTTTGTCAGAGAGCCAAGCTCCTCCCAAAGTTCTAGGAAGTGCTTTTGGAAAGGTCCTTTCGACTTTGTTGAATCCTATCAGAGGATTAATTCCTAGGCTACTGCAGGAAGGGCTGGCCCATGAGTCCAGGAAGAAGCCAGGCTTCCTTGGGGTAATATCTGCTACTGGGATCTGGCTGCAACCCAGCTAGGGACACATGACCTGGCAAAGTTGTCTCCAGCTTAAGGTCAAGGACAAGGAGGCCTTCGTAGCTGCAGAGGAGGGTGGCAGTGTTACAGGATGGACTTCAGCCCTATGTCTGTCCTCCTGTCTGAGATTCAGCTCCCTAACCTGGATCAGAATAAGCTAGTGTGGATGGTGCATCTTCAGGCCATCTCAGTAGCCCTTCCCCCACCAGCCCAGGGAGGCTGGGAAAGAACCTGAGTCGTAGAAATTTGTATTCATTATTGGGGTTCATTTACACTCACCATTTATAGATGTCCCTTTAGATAACCAAGTGAGGGTGCTGTGAACCCCACTCACAAAGAAGGAATCCAGTCTGAGATGACCTCACACTCCCGGAAGGACATGGCCAGTAAAATGCTGAGCTGTATTAAAACACCTTAGATTGTCACTGATTCCCTGTTCTATTGTGAACAGACACCATAACCAAGGCAACTCTTATAAAAGAAAGTACTTCATTGGGGCTGGCTTGCAGTTTCAGAGGTTCGGTCCATTATCATCATGGCAGAAAAAAAAAAATGGCAGCACTCAGGCAGACATGGTGCTGGAGAAGTAGCAGAGAGTTCTAAATTCAGATCCATAGGCAGCAGGAAGAGCCCACCACCGACCCTGGCTTTGGCTTTTGATAAACTCAAAGCCCACCCCCAGTGACACACTTCCTCCAATAAGGTCACACTACACCTCCTAATCCTTTTTAAATAAGTGTTACTCCCTGATGTCTAAGGATTCAAATATAAGAGCCTATGGGTGCTGTTCTTACTAAACCCACCACAGCCAGCTGCCAATCCCTCTGCCCGCAGAGATCCCTGATGAAAACTGCTTTTAAAGGATTTGTTGCAATTGGACTGAGCTGAGAGTTGGAGAGAAGGTCAATGCACCCAGAAGCAGGATAGCCCGACAGCACCCTCCATAGCTGTCTCAGCTTCATGGGCTCAGTGTGTCTGAGGTGCCAGACAGGCCTACTGTCCTACAGTGCTGGAGGAACAAACTGAAAGGCTCATGTGACTTGAGGAAGGGCACACCACCCAGGTCAAGGAAACAGGGTGAGGAGCAGTGAGAATATTCAGGGAAGGGACTGGCACCCAAAGGGGTGAAGTTTCAAGAGGCCTGGACTTCACTCTGGGGCTAGGAGCAAAGACAGTGGCTAGTGCCAGGCCATGTTCATTTGACACTTTACAGAATGGCCAAGAGCCTTCAGAAGTGACAGTAACGGATCCAAGGAACCTAACCAAGCTACTCTCCTGTAGTCTGGTGCCTCCAGTCATAGACTAAGAGCAGCCGCTTCCTTTACTCCAAATCCTCTGGCCCTTCTACCTGTGTGTAAAATACAGAGTACTTCTGTCAGCACATTGACTGGTATTCGCTGACTTGCATTTACTCTTCCTGTGACCTTTCTTGCATCATCTGTGGGCCGCCTTGAAGATTTTCAAACATACCCAGCCTGGGTCTTTGTACTGTTTCTCCCTTAGTTTGAAAAATTATTTTTTTTAAATGTTATTTATGTAGACTAGATCTCACTGTGTAACCCTGGCTAGCCTGGAACACTCTATGTAGACTAGGTTGGCCTTAAACTCACAGAATCTGCTTCTGCAGACTCTGAGTGCCAGGATTGCCTCTGCTTTTGTTGTCTTGTTTTGTTTTTAAGACCTGTTTTCTCTGTGGAGCCCTGACTACCCTGGAACTCACTCTGTAGACCAAGCTAGCCTTGAACTTAGAGATCTGCCTGCTTCTGCCTCCTGGGTGCATGCGACACCACCACCTGTCTTTAAAAAATTTTAGACGGGCAGTGGTGGTACATGCCTTTAATCCCAGCACTTGGGAGGCAGAGGCAGGCGGATTTCTGAGTTTGAGGCCAGCCTGGTCTACAGAGTGAGTTCCAGGACAGCCAGGGCTACACAGAGAAACCCTGTCTTGAAAAACCAAAATAAATAAATAAATAAATAAATAAATAAATAAATAAATAATTTAAATCACATTTTATTTGTTTTGTGTTTTGGGGGTAGTGTACAGGTGCCGCTGTAGATGGATGGATGTCAGAGGATATCCGCTGGAGTCGGCTCTCTCTTTTCACCATGTGAGTCTTGGGGATCTAATGCTGTCAAGCTTGGTGGGAGTGGCTTCTACTGACAGACAAAAATGTCCCAGTTTTGCCCTTTTTCAATTTCCTACCTCCAACTCTCCTGTCAAGCATTACCTTGTTAGGGAAGCCATTTCAAGTCCTCCATCAGTGGTCTCCCCTGTTCTCCCCTTTCCTGGTCTAGTCTCTCTCTGCTCATGATATATAACCTTGCCTGCCATATATACACAGTTATCCTTTCACAGGACCGCCATCCCTCCTCCTGCTAGGAGGTTGGTCCTATGGCAGCCAGGACTTTGCTGTGCTCCCTGTTCTGTAGGAATTGGCTCTCAATGGCTGCTGTGGAGAATTACCTAAGTATCCTCCTTTCTGTAGCCACAGACCAGCAGCACTGCTGTTTCTGGGGAATAGGCTATAGCACGGGATATGTCACGTAGCTCACAGTTACCTAGCCATGACTAACTCTTAGTTCTCAGGCTGTGGACTGGGGAGATGGCTCCATAGGATTGAACCTGAGTGCAGATCCTGAAAATCCACATAGAAAGCAGAACATGGTCACTTACATACAACATGTAACTCCAGCAGTGTCTGGAGCAGAACCAGGAGGATCACTGGGGTTCAGGTTCAGCACACATCTTGTTAGGGTTTCTACTGGTGCAATAAAGCGCTATGAACAGGTTGAAGAGGTGGCTTAGTGGTTAGGAGCACTGACTGCTCTTCCAGAGGTCCTGAGTTCGGTTGCCAGTACCCACATGGTGGCTTACAACCATCTATAACGAGATCTGATTCCCTCTTCTAGTGTGTATGAAGACAGAGCACTCATATATGTAAACTAAATAAATCTTAAAACAAAACAAAAAACACCATGAACAAAAGAAACTTGGAGGGGAAAGGTTTTATTTTAGCTTGCACCTCGTAGTCCGCATGCAGGGAAGTCAGTGCAGGAACCTGAAAGTGGGGTAACTGATTCAGAAGCCATGAAGGGGTGATGCTTACTCGCTTTCTCTTTAAGGCTTGCTCAGCCTGCTTAATTACACACCTCTGAGACCACCTGGGGGGACGCCTCCCACATAAATCACTAGTCAATAAAACTCACCTCGGACTTATCCACAGGCGAAGCTGGTGGGAGTATTTTCTCAAGTGGTGTGCTCTTTTTCCGGGTCACTTGAGCTTGTGTTAAGTTGACATAAAAACTAGCCAACAAGGCGAGACACCTCGTCTCAAGTAATGAAGGTGGAGAGAGTTAGAGGACACCCAAAGTCCCATACCACAGTCTTCATATCTCCGTCATCTCCATGTGAGCGAGTACGCACCCACACCCACATCCACACAGAGGTAAATAAAAAAACACGTCAGGCCTGTCTAACATCTGTGCTCTTCTGTCTTCCCCCAGCCAGGCCGGGGGAGTGTTACAAGCAGGGAATCGGGCTAGAGAGCTCAAGTGTCCCCGAGAGCTTCTGCCGGTGAGGCCACATGAGCAGTTCCTGCGGTATAAACAGAGGGAGAATGAGGCTTCAGACGCCTGGCTGCTCACTGATTGTCCCCAGAACACATCATGTGCCTGGAGCTGGCAGGTTCCAGATGGACGGTTTAATGAGAAAATGTGTTTCCGGCAGAGAGTGCTGCCACTTTACCCCCATTACCTTATCTAGTGCTCCCAAGGACAGCAAGAGGAAGGATGTTATTACCCCTGCCCCAGCATGAAGAGATGGAGGCCTGGAGAAGGTGGGGAACTGGGCCAGACCCACAGCACTTAACTCAGGGATCAGGCATGGATCCAAGCACTGCTGCTGAAGGGAGAGTAACAGGTCTGATGGGAAAGGACCAGTTTATGGCCTCCAAGGGGCAGCACACAGGCTGAGTTCTGAAGGGGTAATAACAAGAAAACAGAGAAAGACAGCATGGGCCCGAGGCTGGGCGCCCTGGAGTTTGCTACAGACTGACAGTTTATGTACTCTCAGAATGCATATGTTGAAATCCTAGCCCCAAAGTAATGGTATGGGGGGGTGATTAAGTCTTGAGATTCAGGTCTCGTGGATGGGACTAGTGTCTTTATAAAAAGACACCACAGCTGGGTATGGTGGGACATACTCATCAGGCCAGCACTCAAGAGGCTGAGGCAGGAGGATTATGAGTTCAAGGCCAGCCTGTAATATATATATATATATATATATATGTATATATATGTATATATATGTATATATATGTATATGTATGTATATGTATGTATACATATACATCATATACATATATAGTGTGTGTGTGTATATACTCTCTGTCTCAAAAGAACAAAAACAAATGAAAAAGGACCCCAGTGACCTTGCTCCCCCCTCTCTCTCCAGTTATGGGGATACAGGAGAATATGGCTATTGCTGGCAGGCTAGGAAGGGATCCTAACAAATTCAGACCTTCCAGGGCCTTGCTCTTCTGCTGCTACCCTTTAGAACTGTAAGAAAGAAAGGTGTGTTGTTTACATTGTCAACTCTATAGTAATGTGTTATACTGCAAAGACACAGTCTGAGCTTCTGGAACCACAACCCCATTCTTCTAGCAGGTCTCTGCCAGCCTGCTCTGCCTGGTGGGTAGGACTGAGTACTAACCCTGCCGGCTTTCCAGAGCTGATCCTTCCTGCTTTGTTAAAAAACAAAACAAAACAAAAAGCAGCTATTAAACCAGCAATAATGACATTTTCAAGCCTCTAATGCCTCAGAGAGCCTCCTGGTCTTTGCCTTTGGGCCCAAGACTTCCACGAGGGATAATCTTGGGGATGTGAACCAGGTCTTATGCCCCCAAATCTCTGCTTCTAGCTAAGACCTCTGGAGATTTTCTTACCTTTCTTGGTGCTTTATAATCCTGGTTGTCCTAGAACTAGCTCCAGAGACCAGGCTGGCCTCAAATTCACAGAGATCCAACTGACTCTGTCTCCAGAGTGCTGGGATTAAGGGCATGTGCCACCATGTATTTTCACTAAGGTCTTTCTTCCTAGCCATGGGCCTTGTATAGATATACAGACGTCCTGACTCTCCTGAACACCATCTGCCTTCCCAAGATCACAACCCAGTACAGGGAGCGCACAGGTATAATCCCCATATTCAGGAGGCAGGAGGATTGCTTTGAGTTTGATGCTATTTTGGATGGCATAGTGAGGTCCAAGCCAGCCAGGACTACGGGATGAGACACTGCTGTCAAGAAAATAATTATTTTAAAAAAGAGCACCTAGTTAATGCCTTGTCTACTCTGCCAGTCAACACACAACCCTCCCCAGCAGCTGCTGCCGTTCTGTCATGCCAGACCCACCTCTAGCTTGCCAACCTTCAGCCAAAGAGGGATAAACAAGGAAGTCTCTGCAGTATGGCTCTACAGGCCAGACGGCCCGCATAGCACCTATTATAATTCGCTCTCGACAAAGACACTGTCCACATGGACATCATTAGAGATCTTGTACCGTGGCATTCCACACATGCACACACAAATGCTAACACACACATGCTAGTACACACAGGCACACCCACACACACATGTACACAGACACATACACACGCAAGTCTACTGAACCTCTGAATTACTAGTTCCCCTGTCAGTATCTGGTTTAAGAAACTGGTCAGGACTTCAGACCAGGTCTGTGCTTCCAGGGCATAATTTTCTAGAAGGCAAATGAGAGTTCTTTGATTGGCCTTTTTGAAGATATCCAATCTGTATGCAAACTGTAAAGCTATTATGCCATAAGATCTCCACCTAGGTCGCACAGCACACGTGTGGAGAATGTGGTATAGAATCCAGTAAGGCAGGGCATGGTGGCACATGCCAGTAAACCCAGAACTTGGGAGGTGGAAGAGGAAGATGAGGAGCTAAAAATCGTCCTTGGTTACACAGTAAACTTGAGATTCATCTCCAAAATAAATAGACCATGGGCTTATATGAGACCTGGTCTCAAACAAACAAGTTGCTAGTTTTTGCACACTGCCAGCATTCACACACTGACCAGAGGAAGGCTTTGTCTATTCTGAGCCCCACCATCACCCACCCCTGGGGTGAGGAGAGTGGCTTTGACAATTTTCCCTGAGTCTGAGGCATTGGGCTCAGGCATGAGGGCCTGCACATGTCAACAATACATCATTCACGACTTCATCCAGTCCTTACACATTCACTTATGCCTTTTTTGGCTATCTGCATCTAAAGTCACACTCTGGTCTCCAGATGCATGCCACACAAAAACATACATGTACACTTGCATGTACATTATACATACATGTGCATATATACTCACACGCCTACATATAATACAAACATGCACACACTATTTTTGTCTAGACAATGCCACCATTTGGATTTTTAATTTTTATTTACTTATTTATTTATTTTGGAGGCATAGTCTAACTATATAGCCATGGATGACCTGGAACTCCCTATATATAGACTAGGCTAGTCTTGAACTCACAGAGCTCTGCCTGACTTTGTGTCCCATGTGTTGGGATTAAGGATGTGTTGCAACCATGCCTGTTGGATTTTTCTATGTAGTAGCCATGGCTGGCCTGGAGCTCACATTGTAGATCTGGCTGGTCTCAAATTCCCAGAGATCCACCTATCTCTGCTACCAAGTGCTGGGATTAAAGGAATATGCCCCCACGCCAAACTAGCATTTGAGTTTTTTTTTTTTTTAAATAAAGTTCTTATTGGCTGCTGAGAGAGTGGATGGGGACCTTTTCAGTTTTATGATAGTGTTCTCATAGGAAAAAAAAGAATAGTGGTTTGTTCATACATTTTTGAGCCCCTTCTATCCTCCACCAGGACCTTTGCTGGGCTCTGGCACACAGAGCAGGAGATGCTGTGACGCTCCTCTTCTGGGTTCTGACTCAGGTATCTGTCGGCAGTTGTACAGAGACAAGCTACAGTAAACAGCAGTGCTGGAAGTGAGACAAGAAGCCCAGAGAAATGCTGCTCTCCCCAAGCCTGGAGCTGCACAGCTGAGAAGATGCTGAGCAAATAGAGAAGTGGTTATACCCCAGCACTCTCTCACCTGTCCCATGATGCACTTTGCCTATCAACTGCCACATCTGCGCCTGGCAGACACGAAGCACTCAATAACTGTCACTCATGGCCCCTCAGTTCTCTGAAATATAAGACAGGAGTGGGTAAGAGTTGCCACTGACATCATTTAGGAACACAGTAATAGGAGCTAGCCGGAAGCAGAGTACGGTGGAACACTCTTTTAATCCCAGCACCAGGGAGACAGAGACAGGCAGATTTCTGTGAGTTCGAGGTCAACCTGGTTTATAGGCCAGGCCAGACTGGAAGTGAGACCTTGTTTCTTTTTTTTTTAAGGTGAGCGCCACCACCGCCCGGCCGCAATGGCTACTCTTTTTTTTTTTTTTAAAGATTTATTTATTTATTATATATGAAGACACTGTAGCTGTCTTCAGACACACCAGAAGAGGGCATCAGATCTCTCATTACAGATGGTTGTGAGCCACCATGTGGTTGCTGGGATTTGAACTCAGGACCTCTGGAAGTGCAGTCAGTGCTCTTAACCACTGAGCCATCTCTCCAGCCCCCAAGACCTTGTTTCAAAAACAGCACCAACAAAAACAATGAATGGAGGTGGGATGGTATCTGAGTAAAACAGATCCCTCCCAGAATAGACAGATTCCACCCTGAGGCGCCTGCCATCAACAGGATGTGAATACATGCTGACAGACCACAGAGTTAGAAGCAACTACTTCAGGCAGGATCAAAGTGGTCACATGGCCAGCCTTGGTACTATTGCGGTGGCCATGCACAGTGGATGGCAGTGTCCCAGGGGCTGCCTCTCAGCATATCATAGTCCATCCATGGGGAGGGAAAGGCGGTGAAAGGTGAAAGGAGGTAGGGGCAGGCTTCAAGACACACCCCAGTTCCTTAGCAAATTTATGTTTTGAAAGGGAAAAGAAAAGGTTTAGCACATTTGCTGAAGTTGCAAAAAAAATTCGAAGCCAAGAGGGGAGCTGAGATCCCTGAGGGATCGCCAAGCCGGAACGCTGAACTGAATCTAATGAGGCAAATATGAATGGGGACAAACTGTGCAAACCCAGTGACCGGAAACCAGAGGGAGTAGATATGACTCAGCATTCAAGAAGGGACACAGATTTGTTCCCAGTGAATTCCTGAGGAGCCTGCGAGGGATGAAAAGCCCAAGTGGATGCTGGGAGATTCCTCTCCGTCCTGCTGGATCTCCAGCTGCCTGCAGTCAACAGTTCTGACCTGTTTGCACTGCCCAGGAACCCAGACAAGCTAGATCGAAGACAGCAAGGGACAACCATTATCCCTACCCTGCAGACCTCACTTCCTGAAGACCCAGGTGGGTGGGAGTAAATTCTAGATAAGTCTCAATCTCCAAACTTCCAATACTCTCTGTCCCACAATCAGACCCACTAATTTGGGTACCAAAGGACACTGTAAATACAACATCATAAGACTAACGGTAAGGGGGGAAATGCAATGAAGAGGAAATAAGAGCAGAAAGAGCTGGAGAGATGGCCCAGCTCTTGCAGAGGAACCAAGTTCGAATCTCACCACAGCTCCAGAGCTCCAGGGATCTGCTTCTATCTTCTGTGGGCACCAACACTGCCTTCACTCACAAGACCTGAGGACACACACAAACACACACAAACAAATCTTATTTTTTAAAAAAAGATTAGAAAGAGCTACAGTCATAAGTAAACAAAACAAAACAAAACAAAACTGAAGAGGGGTGAGTGGCTGTAGCTCCATGGAGAGGCTGGAGGCTAAGAGACAGGGACCGCAGTCTACCCTGACGCTCTACTGCAGAAAGGATGGTGGCAGAGAAGGAAGTGGGCTCTACTCACACTCCTCCACACAGCCAACCCCTGAGGAAAGCCACCTGTACTCCTGTCTCTACTTCTCCTTCCCACTCTCTTGCCAGACCAGAGAATCTGGAGTTGACCACATCGCCCCACCCAAGCAGCCTTTCACGTGTCACTAATGACTTCCACGTCATTGTTGTGTCTCTTCCGTCTTGTCTCATCCGACTTCCTAGAAGCATTAGGTAATATTGCTGCACCGCGGCCTTGAAACGGTCCCTTGTGTGCAGCTGGTCAAACCTGGCCTCCCTGAGTATTCCGTTTGAGTCTGTGGCTTCTCCTCTCTGTATTTTGCAGACTTGCCCTAGTTCTTTGAGGCACGATGGGCCTCCCATTCATTACCAATTCCTGGCTGATCTCATCCACTCATACGCCTTCGCTTGCCACTCCAGAAGCTGATGACTCTCAAATCCATCTATCCAGCCCATGCAGCATGTTCTACTCTGAGATTCACAGCAGAAACTCCCACCTCGCTTAGCACATCCCCAGCATCTTGTAGCACTAAACTCCACCTGGAATTTCCTTCCTAAACTTGACCTCTGTCTCTATTGATTTGCTATAAGCAGTGATTCTTCTACTACCCAGGCCAGACACTCCAAGGCCATCCCTGGCCCCATTCCTTGCCATCATCCCAAGGACCACTCCATTTAACACCTCTAACGACCTCTCAGCCCTAACCACTTTCTTCAACATCCACCTCCAGGATATCTCACTGCGCATGGGGATGGCGGCCATGACCTCCTTCCTGCACACCATATAGCAGGGTTTCCCCTCCAGTATGTTCCACACTCCCTTTTGAAAACAACCTAACATCAGTCTGTCGTGACCAGGGCACTCCATCTTTCTCTAGCACACATAGTTTCACTCTTTGCGTCTGTAGCTCCATCTTCCTCATACTCCCTCATTCCTTCTCCTGGAAGGAACTTCCCACATTTGATATTTATTATTTCAACCATTGCTTCTTCGGGTGAGGCTGCTCCAATCCAACTGCATCCACCCCACCTACACCTACACCTCCTAGCATTTACCACAAGGGTAACTCAACATTTTCATGTGCTCAATATGATCATTTAGTCCACGGTGGCTGCTTATAATTGGCACTGTGTCTCCAGTTCCTAACATAATGCCTGCACAGACAGAGGAAAGAGGCACTGGGACCAAAAAAAAAAAAGTAGTGATAAGTTGCGTTTTATGATGCAATCTTTTGCTCATAAGTCTGTCACTGACTGGATGAGACCCACCTATGTGATTGGAGGGGATCTCCTTTACCTAAAGTCAGCATTGTGTAAATGTTAACCACAACTACAAAAACACCTTCAAAGTAATGTTTATCACAGTTTCCGACCAAAGACACGGGCACCGTACACTAGATTACCCAAACTGACCCATCGAACAGAGGCATCATCGATGACGTCAACTCAAAGACAAGACCGTGGTATGTTTATTGTCACATGCTGGAGGGAAATCCAGCAGACGTATTTCATAAAGTTAGGAGAAATAATGAAAAGAACTTGTGTGTGATCCTCAGATACTCTTGTCCTTGAAGCCAGAGTGACTTAGGATTACAGCATGGAGTGTCAGAGATGAGGGAGGGGGCAGCTCCCCCCCATTGTGAGGTCCAGATAGAACACCCAACTTAGACTGACCCCAGCCCTGGATGCTCTCCTCTTCCTCAGCTTCACTCTCTTCTACCAGAGTCTGCCCACTGGAATCTGGTCTGGAACTGGACTTTACCTTCCTCTCCCTGACCCATGGCAAGCTTTGAGAGAAGATGACCACAGAACCAGTGGAGGTTTTAAGGATCAGCCTCCATTGGCTCCCAGGATTAGGCCCAGGGCATTCTTTCTAGATAGCTCTAGGAGAAGGGCGTGTCAGGAGGACTCAGTCCTTGGCTTTTGAAACTAGTTGAGGAGGACCGGCTCTGGTTCTTGTTCAGAAGTCCTAGCAGGCGAAGACAGCTACTTGTGTATCTTTGGTTGAACACCCCTCTGGGAGGAGGTTGTCTTCTACCAAGTGGACAGCTTCAGGAGGGACAGTGAGGGAAGAAGGGATACTCGCTTAGCTAGCCAGATCAACCAAGTCAACTCAGCCCTGGCTGATTGTAGAGTGAGTAACAGATGGCGCCACTGGATCAGCATCATGTCTTATTTTAGACGTTATTTTATCTTATTCTCCTGAGAGAATGAAACTCCGTAAGAGTCAAGGACCTGAGGAGCAGAGATGAGGCGCAAAGGAAGAGTCACTACAGATAGGAGGAAAGGAATCCATGTCAGAAATGGAAGCTCCTGAGCGGTGGGAGCCTGCTGCGTGGCTAACGGAGGCTCTCAGCCAGTAGCTAGGGAAGGAATGAAGCACTTGTGGCCAGAGAAATTATGTGCCAATTTCCTGGTACACAAGACAGAGAGCTTCCTCAGGAGATAGCAGACGGATGAAATCCAGGCATTTCAAAAGGAGAGAGCACTCTGCCCAAGAAGGCAGAATAATGAATATTCATCGACAAGTATCCAATCAACAAATGCCTGGGCCAAGTTGTACCCCTTGTCCAAGGTACTTTAGGGAGGTACAATAACTTCACTCACTGAACATCCTGTGGAAAGTGCTGAGAGGCCAATTTTACAGACACAAGGCAAGTGGTGTGGTATAGGACTTATCTGAAGGGGAAATCCAGGGGCAACAATTAGCCTGCAGTTGGATAAAGACAATAACAAAAGAGGCAACCATGAAATTAAAATTGGCCAGACCTTGTCTGGACATTTCAGGCTGAGGTAAGGCAACACACAGGTCTGTTAGAGCAGAGGGCAAAGAGGAGGGCATAGTCTCTGACCTCACAATACCCAGAGCCCACTAGGCCAGCCTTGCAGACTCTGGTGCCCTTTTCCAGCCCGGGCAAGGCCCCGGGCCCTGGGCAGCCTCCAGGTGCACTGCCCTCCCTTGGGCTGCACCCTCTCCCCTTCCCTGGGGCATGTCTCTTCTTACAAGTTATGAGGGGCTCCGGCATCAGATAGAGAGACTGGTGCGGGAAAATGAGGAACTGAAGAAGCTGGTACGGCTCATTCGGGAGAATCACGAGCTCAAGTCTGCGATCAAGACTCAGGCAGGTGGCCTCTGCATCAGCGGGTTCACCAGCGGGCTTGGTGAGGCAGCGGCAGGCCCTTCCCAACATCAGGGTAACTATAAGAGGCCTGGGTACAAGGACAGCGGGGAGGGTAGGATGGAGCTTCACAGAGGGAGGAAGAGCCAGGATGCTGGGGTCTGAGGAAATGGTGGAGAAAGGGCTTAGATAATAACAAACAGAGGACATTGGCCTCAACAGAGGGAGGCAGGACAAGAACATAGGACCATTGGGTGAAAGGGCAACGTAGGCCCCATACCTGTTGACCTGACAGGACCTGCCTCACCACCTTCCCCTCAACCTAACTTCCAAGCAGCATCATAGACTAAAAACTGCCCAGCTCTGGAATCCAAATCTCCCCGCCGAGTCCAATATACTAGCAACCCTCGGGCTCCACATCCCTGTCCTCCCTTGCCTTCAACCTTTCCTAATTCCCACCAGCAGCACAGGATCTTTCTCTCTGGTTTGTTGTTGTTGTTGTTGTTGTGACAGCCAGAAAGAAAATCTAGAAGCTGAGGAGAGAAACCAGGACCTTAAGTTGAGATTTAGAATTTGTTAGCCTGTGCTAGAAGCCCTGGGGCTAGAGATGTCCAAAGCAGGGTGAGAGAAGAGAGCCAGCAAGGTTGCAAGCATTCACAGAAATACAGTTGAACTGATGGCCCTCACTGAGCCCAGGTACAGGGATAGGTTAGAGAGAGGTGGCATTCAGACACCAAGTGATGACAGAGGCTACAAAGCCTAGTACAGCGACAGGAAGGAAGTGCTGAAAGGGTGGAAAGCTGTGAGCAGAGAGAGGTCAGCATTGAGGCTACCAGGGGGAGAGCTTCTGGGGGTAGCAAGCTCCCCAACTATAGACACTATGGCTGACACAGATTCTAAGTGTACTCAAAGGGGGAAACACTAGTAGTTCACAATATCCATGTCCCTCCCTACACAAGCCTTCCTGTCCTAGAGGTTGTGTTCTTTCCTCTCTATGATTTTCCGTGTGTGCCTACAGCCTATCCACCCCTCTATCACCCGCCCTCTGTCACAGACCTTCCTCTTACTCTCCCTGCTTGCCCCTCTCCCTCTGTCTCTGATGAGGCATAAAATCTCTTATCTAAGAGGAGGGCTTTGCTCTGCCTGTTTAGACCTTCTACAATTTGGCAATGGACCCCAACAATGAATGCTGTTCTGGAAAGGTTATGAGTAACATCCTAAGTGCCTTCTCCACCTCTGCATGGCATTTGGGAATAATAACCCTCGCTGAGTCTCTCTTCCTGAGCTCCCAAGCCAAGTTGGTTATCTACATCCTGACTCACGTTAATCACTGCTACTCTGGGGCTCAGGCTTCAAGCCCCGCCCCTCCACCCTCGGGCAATCCACCTACCACCGCACCACTCCAGCACAAGTGAAAATAGCTTCAGAGGATCCTGAAGGCCTAACTACTCCCTGGAAACAGTTTCACAAGGGGTTGGGGCTCAAGCACGATTGGTAGAGTGCTTGCTTAGCATGCATGGAGCCCTGGGTCTGATCCCTAACCATAAAACTGGGTACGATTACACAAGCCAGGAACAGGAAGAGCAGAAATTCAAAGTCATTCTCACTACACAGAGATGTCAAGACCGGCCTGTATTACACAAGACACTGTCTCAATAAATAAATAAATAAACCAAAGAAAGAAATTTAAAAAAAAAAAAAGTACAGCAGTTCATCACTAACTAGACTAACTTCTGGTTGAGAACTTGAGCCTTTGTACTAAGAGGCTGAAGTCCTTCCGGGCGGTGTCCAATCCTCCTCCTGCTCCTTTCTGGCTGGATTTCCTACCAGTAAGCCTGGCTTACGTAGTGGGCACGCTTCACATCCCTAGCAATACTCATAAGTACACGTGCACCTCCTGTTTTAAATATCATATCATTGATAACTGAGATAACAGGATGAAACAAGAATCAAAACAACAACAACAAAAAAGTAGGGTGATGGTGATACACGCCTTTAACCCCAGCAGAGGGTCTCTGTGAGTTCAAGGCCACCTTGGTCTACAGGGGGAGCTCTAGGACAGCCAGGGTGACACAAAGAAACCCTGCTGTTTCCAACCCTAGCCCCTCAAAAAACACCAACAGGGAAAAAAACAAAACAAACAAAAGCCCCAAACAAACAAACAAAAAAAAAACCCAGACAGCAAAACCAATATGCACAGAGGAGGTACAACATTGAAGAAGTTCTAACAAGCTAGATGCCGGCTTCTTGCTTAGATTTTACTCCTTTCTAATTCACCTGTAAATATGGATTTGTGTATGAGTCTGCATGTGAGGGCATGTGCATGCCATGGCATGTGTGGCAGTCAGAGATAACCTCAGGTGCTGGGTCTTGTCTTCTTCTTGAGTCAGAGTTTCTCTTGTTTCTGCCACTGCTGCACTGTATACTCTGGGCTATCCAGCCCATGGCCTACGGGGGATTCCCTAGGCTCTGCCTTTTTATAGACACATGCCATCATGTCCGGCTGTTACATAGGTTCTCATGACCCAAATCTTAATGTTTGTATTAAGTGTTCCAACTCGTTCAGCCATCTCTCTGGCCCTTGTGATTTTGAGATAAGTTCTTATATGGCCCAGGCTGGTCTTGAACTCAATACATAGCCCAGGTTGGCCTCAAAGTGGTGATGTCAGCCTCCAGAGTGCAAAGTGCATGCAGCCACATCTGGCTTCTAGGTTTACATTTTAAATCCTTGGTCCTGGAGAAATGCTTCAGCAGTTAAGAACCTTGTACTCCTGCAGAGGACCTGGGTTTGATTCCCAAGCACCCACATGGCAGCTCACAACCATTTGTAACTCCCCAACACTCTCTTCTGGCATCCTCAGACACCAGGCACACATGTCATGCACAGACATACATGCAGACAAAACACTCATACGCATATGAAATAAATAAAATAAAGCCTTGGACTATTTCATATCTTTATGGAGGAGTTCAGACAGCTGGTGATGAAGGCAGAAAGCAACATTCTAAGGAGAAAGCATAGTGTGGACGAGGACCTGGGCATAGTGCTTCGGGAGTGAGAACTAGACAAAAGTGTAAGAGTCTATGTGGTACTCAAGTGCCTGAAGTAATGAGCGGGTGTGGGGTACGTAGTGTTGATGTGTGCAACCGAAGCACATGATGTGCATGTGACTACATATGTGTGTGACTATGTGCGGAGAACGTACATGAGTTTGTGAGAACGTAGCATGTACTCTTTGAGGAGGGTATGTTGTAGATATGTATGTGGCTGTTAAAAATGTGTGAGTGGCCGTGTTATGCATGAGTGTACGTGGTGTGGGAGCTTGTGTTTATGCTATATATCTGATAGTGTATGTTGTTCCCGTATTTATAGTCCTATTCTCACATGTTCCTGTTAGGGGTCATCGAGAGGTGAGCCATCAGCCGGAGAGGTCAGCAGGGGTCAGATCACAACCGACTGAGAACATTAAATGAGATGCTAAGGACTTGCTCCTAAAAGCTATAAGCTGAGGTTTATGATTTCTAACAGGAAGTAGCCACATTTGTGCCCAGAAAGATCATTCCATCTGCTGGGAGGAAGCACAGCTGGGTGATGGGGGGAGATACGTTACGGAGAAGCTTCTAGTTATTCAGGTGGGAGGGAGACCATAGCACGAACTGCAAGTGGACAGAAACTCATTCCAGCTTAGTAAGAAGAATAAATCCGAACTGTTTGATATAAAAGGTGATAAATAGTCTGGATGTTGTGGCGCATGCCTTTAGTCCCAGCACTCAGGAGGCAGAGGCAGGCAGATCTCTGAGATCGAGCCCAGCCTGGTCTATAGAGTGAGTTCCAGGACAGCCAAGGCTGCCGAGAAACCCTGTCTCAAAATGAAATAAAATAAAAAAGAGAGGTGATAAATACAGTCTGGAGTATGTCTAACTGAATGGACTAGGGGATGACTGATGGTGGGTGCCACATCCCAAGAGACACAGTGTGCCACCATCAGGCCATCAAGGAGAATCCTTCACAGCTGCCTCGGTGGCTCTGACCCATGTCCCTGCTGTGCACTCTCTCAATCTTACTGGTTACATCAGCTTATTTCTTTTCTTTTCCTTCTTTTCAGTTTTTGGCTTTTGGTACAAGAGTTTCCTGTAGCCCAAGCTAATTTTGAACTCCTGATTCACCTGCCTGTACCTCTCGGATGCTGGGATAACAGGGCTGCACCACCACACCTGGCTCCCTCAGCCCGTGTCTGTGAATGGCCTTTATCATGAGGTCAGATTCTTCATTTGCTCTCATGGAGTCAAGCTTTAATTTCTCTTTCTAAGACCACCGTGTTCCTTTAAGCTCTGGTCCGGGGCTCTGATCCACGTCAGTTCAGGAGGGACACAGGAGGAAATTTAGCTAGGGAGGTCTAGAGAGATCTTAAACACATGGGTTGTAGTTACTTAAAATCATGTATACCAGGCCCACTGCAGCACAGGACTAAGACCAGATGGTGGGGAAAATGGATGATGGATGGGGTCTCTGGACCAAGGGGTCATGAGTTCTTCCTAAGGCATCATCACATCCTAGCCCGACACTCCAGAAAGTACAATTATCCCAAATTTAAATGTACTATTCTAGGTCATTACAATGGCTTATTTATCAGAGTAAGAAAGAAGAACATTATCTGAGCGTTAGCGTGAATAATAACTTCCAACCTCTCTGACACACAGCACGTGGGCTTTCACTTGAGTTCCTGCCCACAGCTCTTGACAAGGTTAGAGGAGAGCCTGGAAAAAGGAAGTACAGTTTTGGAGGATGTCTTCCTCCGGGGTGAGACATCCACAGAGAGAGTGTTAGAGACTGCAGGCAACAGGAGCCCTCAAAACACACAGAGGAGGTCAGGGCTAGCTAGAAAAGATTCAAAAGTTGTTGGTAATTAAAGCCACTAGAGGGGTTAAGAACACCTGGGAAAGCCAGGTTGTGGTGTTATGTGCCTTATTCCAGCACCAGGGAGGCAGAGGCAGGCAGATCTTCTAAGTTTGAGGCCAGCCTGGTTTACAGAATGAGTTCCAGAATGGAGCTACACACAGGAAAAAAAAAAAAAA